TTGTGACTGGTTCATTGTCTATCGCCGGGATTGGCAGTGTGAGTGCTGCACCTGCCCAGGGTCAGGGAGCCAGCATGCACTATAAGGGAGAGAAGGAGGTCAGCTTTTCCCCTTTTTGTGCCATTTTGCTGTTGTGGCTTGTGACCACCATGAACCACTACCCCTCAGCCACTTCCACTCTGCCTTGGAACCAGCTGAATATAGACTGAAACCTACAAAACCAGTAGGCTAATAAAAACCTTTCCTTCCTTCATTTTGGGCATCAGGTATTTTGTCTCAACAATGAGAGAAAAGTAACCAATATACCCATCTCCACCAAGACAAATGAAGTCATTAGATTCATGGTGTGTGTTTTCCTTTTGTAATAGATGACATCTCCACTATCTTTTGAAATGGCTTTCATCCTTGCTTTTTGGTATATTTACCCAGTAAGAAGTTCACTTGACAATATGGCCTGTCTTTCTGAAGTAGTATAAATGGCTGTGTTATGGAGGAAGTGAAGGGTTCATAGTGTGCAAGGGAAAGACTAAGGGCATTAACCAGGGTACTGCTGGAGGACTGCAGACTCTTGCTTGAACTGCACTGTCTTCTCGGACCTTAACTGGTTCACTATTGAGAATTTTCAGCATATTGTTTTCATATTATCATTTGTTTGTCTGCCAGTATTATTAAAGTTCACAACTCACCTCAGTATAAAATGAAATTTTACTTATATCTACGCCACTTTCTACAATCTTATCCTTCATATAGATATATGTTTGTTTGTTTGGGTTTTTTTGGTCTTCATTTTAGAGACAGGGCCCCGTTACATCATCCTCATCTCAAACTCACAAGAATCCGACTGCCTCCGTGTTAGGATTGCAGGTCTGCACTACCTGGCTCCATTTTGAAATCAAAACCAGTCTGACACACAAGCTTAAATACTGCACGATGTCTCTTCTTTGAAAAGTCCCCAAAATATATAAATTGTAAAAGAAAGTAAAGACAATAGAAAACAAACAAGGAGATTTTTTTCATAAAGGAAAAGACCAAGTAAAGGAGGTGGGAGGGTAAAAAAGAAATAAGATGTGACATGTATGTGTACCAACTGCCCACAAGAAATGCAATCATTATACAGTAAATGTACCAGGAAAATAAATTTTTGCTTAAAAAAATAAAACAACGCTCCTCCCAGAGAGCTCTCTAGTATTTTACACTAATTTGTTCTTACTTGTTCTCTTTTCCACCATTACTTCTTCATCCAAACTACAGTTTACTAGGGTCCTCACCACTGATCCTATGGGTGTTTAGATGTTTTTGAGTCAGTGGTCAGTGCTTTTCTTGGTGTAACTGGATAGTTCCCTTCCTTGGGTTTGGAATCACGTCTCCTCCACTGGTCCCTGGTGAGAGGGAGTGCTTGCTGCAAGACCTCCTTCCTCAGCGTCCACTCAGCCTGGCAGTGAGTTTCCCCAGGAACCCACAACTTTCTTCTCTTTTGATGCTTACTGGTACAAAGTGTCATATATACGTAAATACTACAAAATTGACACCTTCTCCTTTAACTACAGAGCACTAGAATGACCCCTCTGGTATACGCGTGGAACTAACTCCTCTTGGCCTCTGTCCTCCTCACTTCTCATTGAACATTGCTAACAAAGAATCTGAAAGTGGTCTATGGCAAGGGCAGTAAGTCTTCCTCTGTGCAGTTTCCTATCTTGACACACACTGTCCCCCTCCAACTTCTTGCTCCTGTGGTATCTTCTTCATACAGCTGGGCTTTCTCAGATCATCCATTCACATTAGCTTCTATGACAGTCCTAATTCAATACATTTTTAATTTTATTTGTTTTATTTCAAAGGAAAAAACACATAATAAACAAAAAACAAACAAAAGAAACATACCACAATCATAACAGCAAAACCCCAAAACAATAGTGATACAGGATTTCAAAACAAGGTGATAGAAACTTAATGATGGTTGCTATGTTGCCTATTGTTGTCTTCAAAAAAGTAGCTCAGATTACCAGACGTAGGCATGCAAAACTGATGGAACAATATGAGCACTCACTGTTCCTCTCCTTGAATTGACAGAATTAGTAGTACAATTATCTTAACTATCTTGTCAACGCATCTTTTAAAAATTCACACTCCAAAAATGCCCCATACCCTTCCCAGTTCAGAATTTTACTCCACTCTTTCATTGGCCTTTTGCCTTCTGCAAATCCTTGCCAGCTCATTTTTGAGCACATCACGTTTAAAAAGTTTCCTTGTTCTACTGGGGAGAAAAATAATGCTATACTCCATCATACTTGGTTTATGTATTTAATATTGCATCTAGTAGGCTGCCTGACATGTAAACTATACTGTGCTTATAATTAAAAGTATTACCCTTTTAAAAACTATAATTATGAAGCTCTTGGAAAGCAATAACTTTGTCATTCACTTTCTCTACAAAGTTAGACTCACAACAATGCTATACACATAGTAAGACTTTAACAACTCATTCTAATTAAAATGCATCTGAAATGGGACTTGAACAACACTTTAGGAACACAGGTTAAAAACCAGGAGCTACGTGTATAAATGCAGCCTGACTGAAATTCTTTCTCAAAGGCTTTAGGTATATGACAAAAAGAAACCAAAAAGATAAGATGACATCAGTGATCCAAACATAAAGATGTCTCTTTTTTCTTTCCAGTGAGGAACTAGAATTAGATAAAAGGTTATTATTTCATGCTAAACTTAGCTACCTTAAATTTCCAAAGAATCACATTTTTGTTGTAGTTATTAGTTTTTAATGTATGTGTTGTTGTTGTTGTTGTTTTTTACTTTGATACTTCAATTCCATTTGAAGACTCAAAACGGAGTGACTGTGTAGTACTCATACATTAGTTATTTTGAAATTTAAAATATCCAAGATGGTCCCAGATCCATGATGGGGAACCTATGGTATATGTTTTATTTGGTTTTCTTTTAAAACAAAAGATGTTAGGTTATATATATATATATATATATATATATAGATATCAGTTTGGTACTTTGTGGTAAATAGGTAGGTTTTGGGTACAGTTTGGGCATTCGTCTCTAAACAGTTCACCATTACATCTGTTCATCATGATAATTCATGCTAACATTTCCTAATGCCTTAGCTTTTCATACATGCCTCAGGCTTTCTAATGACAGTAAACGATCAAAAATACATTTCCTGTGTACTTGTACATTTTTCTAGTTATATATGTCATTTAGAATATTTAAAATTTCCATTGTGGGTTATCAGATTTAAAGTCAAGTTAAACAATCAAACTTGTAGCTAGACCTAGCGGCAAATGTGTAATCTCAGCACTCTGGGTGACTGAGGTAGGACAGCAAGGCTGAGTCCGTCTGAAGTAACATAACAGCTTAGCAAAACCTTGACTGAAAATCTAAAAAATTAAAAAGGGCTGTGGATATATAGCACAGTGTAAAGGTGTTGGATTCAATCCCTAGGACCACCCTTCCTAGAAAGACCAAAACTTTTATGAGATTTTTTTAATTTATAGGACAGAGTGACCAATCCCAACCTGAAGATAAAATATATGAAAACAGACCATATAGGGAGTAATAGTATCTTAAGCAATAATTTTAATATATACGTAATACATTATTGGCATATCCTCAACAAGGTACTTAACAAACATCTTTGGTTGACAATAATCAGAAGCCATGGACTTCCCTACTTATGCTCACCTTTCCTGGGTTATTGTTTTTAATTATAAGCTATTTACATTAATTACAACAGTTAATGACCAATCTTTCAGCAAATTCTGATTTAAGATATTATAGATGTGTATACAGAGGGGGAGCTATTAGAGCAACTCATGTAGGGAACCTAACAGTGAAGGCATGAAAGCAAACATACCCTCTGGGGCTAGGGGTTTAGCTCAGCGGCATAAGCACCTGCCTTGCAAGCAGGCGGTCGTGAGTTCGATCCCCGGTACCAATAAAAATGAAAAAAAAAAAAAAAAATCTTCTTCTGACAATTTCAATTAGCTACTAATCAAATTGCTAATGGATAAAGTGGGGATTATAGTTATTAAAAGGTCCACTACAACAATTGAATGAGTTGGTTTTACTTTCCCAGAGACCTAAATTAAATACATTTATCTACACAAATGTATTATAACATAGGTGCATACAGTTTGTCAAACATACTTCTGAGAAACTATTTGCAACGAACTATACACTCAATTTTTTTCATACAGTTTTTTCAATGGCAACTGCAAAATGTAAGAAATTCCATCCTTTAATTTTTGTTGGGCATGTTTATAGTAAGGTAAACATAGGATATGAGAAAATTACTTTTATATTTCTTTACAGAAATGTCCCAGGAGAACAGAACATTTTCTTAGTGTAAAATTCAGGCTTTATTCTTTCAGGCAAAGTAATTATGGAAGCAAAGCAAATCCACATTGTCTAATTTGGTCATTAAAATCTTAATGCGTCATGGAAGCTTCTCTCCTTGTCTAAGACATAAAGTAAGACAATGAAAACAGTCTGGTAATATAGAAAGGTTTAGAATTTGTTTCTTTTCAAAAGTAATAAGTCCTTTCATCTTTCTACTTCCCATAGATGAAGACAGCTAATTTAGAGACAAGTTAATTAGTTCGGTTCACCCTGATTATATTTCAAAATATTTAACCAAAAGCAGGAAGATAGAGGGAAAAAATTACATGGAAAAATTATCAAAGGAAGTAAAGAAAATCAAGTGTGGTGCTGATCAAAATGTGCTCTGCAAAAACGAGATGAATATAAAATCTACATTCATATAAACACAAGAGATCTGGAATACCAGAAAGTTCCTAAGAATCTATTGGCATTGCCTTTAGGGTTTGAAATCTAGATTTTAATTACAGCTAACTTAAATAAAAACAAATGATATGATCGTTTTGCCTTTGCTTTCTCTACTTATTATTATTTCTTGAGTTTCAGAAAGCCCATGGCTCTAAACATTAAGAAAGCAAATGTGAAAAACACAAACTTACCTGTGAACCTCGAGGCCCACGCTTGTGGTCCCATTCCGAATGCCCCATGAGCTATAAAGACAGAATGATAATGACGATAAGTAACATAATCAGTTGACATGACAAACATTTTATTCTTTAGGGAATAAGTGCACAGTTGAAATCCGTGTTCTCATTATAAATTATTAAACAGCCACTCTGAATAAATTGGCATATCTGCGGAAATAACCTTTTTTGGCTTGATATTATTTCAACCTCCACTTATTTCAAAGATACTTAAATAACAGTATGTGACAATAAGAATCTGCTAATGTCTAGCTTTACTCTTCTTTATCAGGAAATTCTAGATAGATATCAAATCCTGTAAAGCCTTATTTACATGTCAGTAAGCTTTCAATTTACTAGGAAACATAGTGATTAATAGTATCATTTAACTGTCATAAATAAAAACCAGATCAAATTTTTCAATTGTTTGGATTATATCACAAAACATGAGAGTTCTAAAGAGTAAAAGTATTTCTAATATGAAATATGCCCCTAAAGTCATGGATTTGAAATTTTCATAATAAATAATATAAAATATTAAGGTAATCCCATAGTTGTAACAGCCCTGAGTTACTCTGCTTAGAAACCAGGATATATATTTACTGACAATAGCATTTACAAGAAGCATGTTAAAGAAGTAAAAGCTATCAACTGATGACAATAGAATTTCATTATGTCTCCTGTTGTCATGCTTTGAAACCTTGTGTCACTTGTATTGTTTTCTTCTGATCTGCTTTGTTATGTTTTGATACATTTTATTTTACTCTTTAAAATAAATTTTTAAAAACTTTTTTATCTGTCCAATATTTTCACCATTCACTAGAAACAACTGAAAAACTTTTTACAATTTACAAGCTGCAGCATTAATAAGATAGACCATGAATGGATATCTTTTCTGTATGCAACAAATTCTTAGCAAATAAAATAATAAGTAACAATGAAAGTAATATACTTTGAACACTATCAAGATATGTTTGACAACCGAATATACAAACAGGGATGAATACACAATGTTACTGGTTAGAAAAACTTCTGAGACTGGGGATTTATTTCAGCAAAATAAGCACCTGGCTGGCAAGCACGAGGTCATGAGTTCAATCCCTGGTGCCCCCTCAAAAACCCAAAAACCAAAAACCTCTATAAAATGCTTAAGTATTCAACTTTACCAAAACAAACTTACAATTCTATCAAAAGTGAATAGTATTATTAGATATGCCATTAAAAACAAAAACAAATTTAATGTGAAATAACACAGTAATCAGTTATATCATATGAGTAAACCTAAGTATCTAATACACAGCAGGAAAGCAATAATAATATTTTAATGTATACAGAACTTGGTAAAAGAGTAAGTGTCACACCCTCTTATTACAATGACAAAACACAATGGTAACTGAGACAATCACTATGTCCATTTATTTCATGGCAGTAATTGTTTCACCATATTTTATTCCAGCATCATCTTGTTTCCCACAAATACACACAATGAAAACAACTTAGAAAATATCACAAATGACGAAAACAGTAATCTTATTAACATATATTCTAAAATTAAAACCAAACTATGTGTAAACAATTAAAATATAAATTAACAATTAAAATATAAATTAAGGAGCTACAGTAGGCAATTTTAAATAAACACAGATATATGTAAACAAGAGAAAATATTCCTGAAAATTTAAAAAAAAAATCTAAGCATTTTTTAAAAAGATTTTTTAAAAATCTCCAAAGTGGATCAGCTGTTTGAAATTTTAGAATGTCTGAACAAATACTTCATTGCTTAAATAGCTGCAGTAAATGATAAATAAGAAAGTCTTTGATACATTAAGAATGCTTATTGATTTGAAAGAAAACTCCAATAGAAAAATAGAAGGAAAACTAAGAACAATTTATAGAATAAATGTCAACAACCAACTGGTTTATGATAAATTTTTAAATTCATGGGAAGTGAAAGACATTAAGTATACAATAAGATACTATTATTTGCTACTAAGTACAAAATATATTGAAAAAAATTTTTAAATATCATACTGAATGATGAAAATGAAAAATAAGCATACATAGTGCCATTTTATAACAAATACAGACACAGGCATCATTTATTCACATATATTTACAAATATATATAAAATAATTATCCATATCCAATATGGTTTAATGTATAACCTTTGAACCATTATAGAGTAAAAAAATCTAGCAATTATAATGTATTAGTCATTGTGTTATCCAACAAAATAGAAACTATCCAATAATATTCTAAACTTATATAATTACAAAAGAATACAGCAATTTAAAAGGGAATTGCATTGATAATCATGCCATTCCTACCTACTCCACTTCAGGATCTTATATTGTTTTTATACACAATTATTTCAGGATAGAATCTGGTTTTATTGCCAGGTTTCTTTTTTAAGAGAATAAAACCAAACAAAATAGAATAGGGCCAACTAAAATAAAACAGTTATAAACATGTTTTAACTTCCATATGAACAAACTGCCCAACTGAAGCTTTTCATAAAATTAAACTTTTCTTAAGGTCAAAAAAACTTTTGGCTTTTCAAGGCCTTTATAAAAAATTGCATGGGTGGCACTAATGAAAGGTAAGTAAAAATATACTCTTTTTTCTTTTCATTTTTAGACACGATTTCACTGTGGAGTCCAGGATGGCCTCGAACTCATGACAATCCTCCTGCCTCAACCCCTTGGGTGTTGGGCTTTAAACATGCTCCACCACATCCAGCTAGTAATTCACTGTTAGTAAGACATAGTCAATCATTTTAAGCTTTGGAATTATTGCAATTATTTATTTACAACTTAGCTAACAAACAATTCTAGGAAAATTTTCCCAGATAATCATTATATAAAACCAAAGGTTAATATAGTTGATGTTTCTTTAATGCTTTTTTATAAAAAAAGTTTTGATTTATCCATATTATCTTTGAAGCAGATACTAATTTAAACTACTTTAAAGGTGATTGTAATACAGTTCACAAACACTAATCAATTAATGAAATAAACAGTATGACTTAAAAGCAAATGAAAAACATTCAATTAGCTGTTCACTAGCACTGTCAAAACAATTCTTGACACATTTCAACCATTTGGCTTATTGAAGCATCATGGCTATCTAATATTAATGACTAGATGGTTGCTTTGGAGAAATTTAAAGGGATAATGAACTTAAGCTCTAGGCTGCTAGTGAAATGATTTCCTAGAATCTTCAAGACAGAAGATAAAATTTGACTATTATTACCATTATCCTCCTCACTAATAAGTTTAAGCTACCAGAATTACAATAATTTGGTAAATTCTACAGTGCTCGGGTAACACAGTATAAAAGAAAACTGCATTCAACACAATAAATTGTAATCCACAATAAATTAAGAGGAAGTGTTTGATGATGACATGGTCAAAAAGGCAATGCTTTTCAGAACCAGAACTAATAAGAAAAGCATGTAATACATTGTGCACTCTACCATTCAATGTCTTAAAGATGGTAATTTTTACCTGAGTTTGGGAAAACACACACACACACACACACACACCTGTAATTACAGTACCTGGGGAGGTTGAAGCAAGAGGGTTCCAACTCCCAACATATCCCAAGCAACTTAGCAAGTTAAGAAGACTGTACCTCAAAATTATTAAAAAATACAATTGGATTTGGAATATAGCTCAGTAATAGAGTGTCCCTAGCATGAGTCTCCCAGATACCACAAAACAAACAAGCAAGCAAAATACAATTATCTAAATTTGACTTTTGGGGAGAAGCTTAACAAATGTGTTATGTATCAGAAAGAGTTTTTCCTGTCCAGTATACAATAAACTGACTTCATATTACAGACTATTTAAATTGAGCATTTGGTCAGGGTATGTATTCCAGTATAAGCAGAATTGCGGGGCTATTTTACAAAATGCTACACAGATGATTCCCTATCTGTACCATCTGATTAGTAATTATAGCAAATCACATATATTAGCCAACAAACAGTAAAGACAGCATGCACAGTGGAGTCAACAAGTTTCAGGATTAAGTGCCAAATGAAGTTCTAGCAATGAAAAAGTGAAAACATCTTTTCCGTCAAAGACATAGGATTAGTATTAAATTGCAGATGACCAATACAGTCTTTTGACTAGATCATGGAATTAGATAAAAGACATTAATGGATTAGGAACAATGAAAAACAGAAGTAGCATCTGTGGATTTTGTTTTCCTTTTGTAATTTAATCCATGTGGACTAAACCTTCAAGATAAATGAATAACAGCATGATACTTAAGCAATTTTGGGAAAAGGGTCAGAAAGTTTACTGTATATGCCATGATATTCTTTTTGAAAGAAGAATGCTTCTGATTTCATGATTAGGTGTATAAAGATGTTAGAAATAAAATACACAGAGAGATTCACACTGGAAAAAGAATAAAATTAGAGAAAATGAAAGCATTCTAGTTGACTACTGCGTATGGCTATTTTATATGGGAAGAAAAAAGTCTCTCCTCATCTATAAAAAAAGAATACCCTCTTAGCTATTTAACTGTGATGACTATACAAGGAATGACATTTAAATAACCAACTTGCCAGGAGGTCTGGCGATATATGGGTCACCAAGGTTATGCCTACACACAGCAAGCAAAATCTTTCCATCTGAGGCAGAAATCCCCCCCCCCAAATAAAGTATCCCTCCTCCTTTCTCAGCTTTCATGAACCCAGATAGGCAAAATGAAGACCCTTAAGTTTCTTCCTGGCAAACAACCCACATTGCTTTGAAAAGAAATACACCCTGTTACATAATCCACTTTGAAAATCCTAGATTCTTGACAGTAAGTCTTTTTCATTCTTATGGAATAAATTCTTCTTCCTTCTCTCTCTTATTTTTAATAATAAATTTTTACATCACAGCCTTCAGCTAACAGTATGTTGCACGGCACAGAGTTCCAAGAAAAACAGAAGTGCAGCCAAACACAGAATCTAAAAGTTCACAGGAGCAGCGACGAAGTCAACATGGGAACACAAAGGTTCCATCCAAGT